GCTTATCCCCCCAAAAAATAAAAAACAACTTTTTTTTTTTTTATTTTTTTTTTTTTTTTTTTTTTTTTATGTGTTCCTGTGCATTCCTCTCTCATTTGTCAGCATTGTAGTCATTTAGGATAAGTCAAGATATAGGTGATGAAAGGAAAGTAACATTCAACTTTGTAAGTCTTAAAGTGAAATAATTGGAAGTAGTAGAACAAATACAGACCTGTGTGGGCAATTTTGTTAACCTTCCACAATAAACAGAAGCTAAAAATCTTTGAATAATCTTGAACTGACAAACGTTTATTCCCTGTAATATTTTTGCATTTCCAACAGGTTGCTTGTGTGGCACTATGAAAGTGAGTCACGAAACTAGTAGACCCCCCAATTTTGTTTTTGTGATGATCAGTCTCAGCCAGAAACTAGCATAGAATTTATTAGATGTAACAATGTTTGTATTTCACCATCGGAGGGCGCTGTGTGCGGCAGCGGGTGACACTCTGGCGGGCGGAAGAAGCTCGTCAGTGCTTAGAGGACAGCTTGTTGCAGCAGATGCTCGGAGCAGATTTGTAACCGCTGTATTTTCTTGTTGCAGTTTAAACTAAATAAATGTGCTACCAGAGGAGTGACCCGGCCCATCATTCTCTTCAGTGTAACACTTGGTCAGAGCAGATCTATGACTGTAGGATTAAGATGTGAGCACATGGAGGGTGATTCAGGAATAGTGTTCTTCTTTCTCTGCCATCTGTTTTTAGCTGTATGCTTTGTGTGGTTATCCTGTTGGAGGACCCATGAGCTGCAGATAAGATAGCTTTCTGATACTGGCCTTGGAAATCTCCAGACTTCGCTGTGCTCTGCAAAGATTCAAGATTCCTCATGCCAGACAAAGCATGGCCACACCAAAACAAAACCAAGTCCATCCCATGTTTATAGTTTACATGGTGCTCCTTACTTTGAAAGCTGATTTCTTTTTTTTTTTTTTTTAGCTTTCATCTTCTATTTCTCACCAAAAAGCACCAATTTTGTCTCACGAATCCAAAGATTTTTCTCCTAGAACTTTTGGGACATCCCCACATCTATTTCTTGCCACGGTTTTTTGTTTTTCTCTCAATGGCGAAGCCCTCTTGGGGGTTTTCTTCACTGGAGCCCATTGTGGTTCAAAATGTAATCCATGACGTGATCAGAAAATAACATACTCCTCAGAAAGTTTGACGGGGGAAATCCAAATTGTACAGCCCATTGTGTGCGCAAGTCGCTGAATCTTAACATGACTCTTTCGACCTGCAGCTTTCTGTGAGTTCAGTTCAAAGCAACCTTTCAGTTCAGTGATTATGTCTAATTATTTTCCAGTCTTGTCTGTTGGTATGGTGCTACTGTTCCACTCGCTAAGACTCAACCTGTGGACATCAATGCCAATTAGCTACAAAATGGGTCACCCCTTGCATCCCTTTATCTATCCTTTATGCTTCAGTCAGCACACAACCCTCACATCAAAATGCCCTTGGAGGGAAGTTAAAAGTTCATCTCTTTTAGCTCTAATGTTTTCCTAATAGCTGCTTGTTGAGTTAATAGTTAAATCACAGTCAGGATCCCAGTCGTTGCCTTTAATTTGTCCTTGCGAGGAAAGCCAAACACATGTGCTTACATGAAAGGCTTACACTTAGTCTCTGACCTTTCCGTACGGTAAAAAAATTCAGCAGCTGCACGTTGACACTGAATGTAAAGAGTGACCTAGATAAGGAGTGTTTTAGTTTATGTGCTGTTGTGAGCAAGTGTAATTATGTAGCATGTATAAGAAACCACACATTAAAACTTTACAAAGATTTTCTCTTTTTTTTTACTCAACAGATGTATACAAGTTTCATGATATAAAAAAAAGCTGCATGGCTCAGTTGTGAGAGTACAAGTCCTTCATTTTAAAATGTTTAAACGTGTAAGAGTACAAAAATAAAACATTTGTATATCATTAATATTACGAGCAGGAGAGTTAAATGAATACATGGATGCATCTCCCCAAATTTAACATTTGCTGCAGCTAAACATTCAGTGATCAAAGTAGAAAGAACATAAACTCAAAAAAAAAAAAAAAAAAAAACCAAAAAAAAAAAAAAAAAAAAACTAAGACAGAAGTAAATAGGCATGGTTAGAAAAGTTTTCTGTCCACACAGGAATACATCACATTTAAAGTGCATCGCTACATGCGTGGCGGTTGTAGGTAGTCACATTCATGTACATTTTAGTACTGCTTTCTGTCCAGCCTACAGTGTTTCTCTCTGTGTTAACCACCAGTGGAGAAAGTGTTATGCATCCTTGTTTAACACAAACCAAACGGAAACACAAAGGCTGCCAGATGTGACTAGGGATCATTGCGATTTGTTCTCCTGGCTTCTTGTTAACTGATTCAACTTTATGGTTCCAGTACATTTTAATTTATAGGCTGCTTAGTTAAAACTTTTTTGGAAACCAGATGTTTTTTGTTTTCTTTTCTTTTGTTTTGTCTTTTTTATTTGCCACGAGTTAAGAAAAAAGCACAAGTGGATAAATTACATAATCGCAGTCGGAGTTCAGGAAATGCTTCGTCTTTATAGGTCTCCACAGTTCCATTACAAACATTCTGAATTTAAATTTTTTATTGGGATTTTTTATTGGAAACATTCTGAATGTAAATTTTTTTATTGGGATTTTACACACTTCTTATGTTCAGTCAAGGAGTAGCTGGCACCCACTGAAATTCCTTGGTGCCAATTAGCTTGGTTTTTTTGTTCTTGTTTTTTTTTTTTTTTTTTGGATAAGGAACCGCTCATTCGTCACAAACCATCAGGATAAGCATGTTTACAATTGGCTGTATTTCCTGGTTGCCCTTTTTTTTCCTGTAATGACAGACACGGCCAGAGGGACAACTGAATCTTAAAAAATATCTCTTTACTGTTAAATGGAAAATCAAAAAAGTATATACAATGTATTTAGCAAAACATACACTCAGATATACTGGCACTTTGCACTAAATATATTTGTTAAAAGTGGTGATGAAGAAGATAATTCCAGGAACTGCTGCTCATGATGAAGAGTTGGAGATTCAATCCATGCAAAAAGGCTGCAGCAGAGCAGCTAACATAAGTGCTGTATGACATACCAGAAGATCTTTCGATTTATGTTTATATATGTGACGAAGGCCAAAATCCTCAGCAGTGACTCAGGAGGATCTCTTGCAGAGATGTTAGTTGGCCTCCTTGGATTTCTTCATCCTGGAATAGAAAAGAAAAAAATACTATGAGGATAATGATTAAAACTATAAGGCAAGTTTGTTTGTACATAATTATTTATACACAAGGTAATTTAAACATTTTCACAAGGTAATAAAGAAACAAAAATAAAGGAAATTACATTAAATGTACACACTGCATTACAAAAAGTGTTCAAATGCCATCTTAAAACAATTTCTAGGGAATTCTGGATATGAGAAGTGTAGAAACTAAATGCTGCCTCTTTGTGTTTTGTTGAGCTCCTGGAAACGGCTGTGAAATCTCAGTGTTGGTCAGGACTCCAGCAGCAGCATTTTTGGATGAGCTGGAATTGCCTAATTGATCATTCAACATGGACATGAAAATGCATAACACTGCAAAATTCTAAACTCCTCAAAAAAGATTTGCCAGGAAATCCTTTCACCGGCAAATAAATGTATGATTAAAACATTTTCTACACGTCCTTGGTGTTTTTTAGCATCACTGAGTTTAGTCAAGTACTCATTCCTAACCTTGCGTGTGTGCAAGTAAAAAATTACGACTTCCTGTGACCCATTTAATCATTGGTATAATGGATACACTGACTCAGTGGCTTGTGGTCGCATGGTGGGTTTCTCCTGGTTTTACAGTCTGGAGGCGGGGGAGACTGACACAAACACTTAATGGAGTTATGGTGTGAATGATGACTGAGACCGCTCTGTCTGTTTCTGCTGTCTACACATTCAAAAGAAAAATCTTTTGAATGTGCACCATGGTACACCACACATGGTATTTATACCAAAAATGATCTAAATGACTGTATTTGAAAATGGGAAGTATCACTGGCTACACTGCTGCTGCTAAAATATAATATAATAATTTTGGTCTATGCATTTAGCATTTGCAGTCACTCTTTAAAATCAGTCACCTGTTTCACCCCAATCAGTTCCTTTCAGATAAAAATAAATTAGAAAAGTCAAGAATTAAATTGTACATAGGTTACAGCGCCACATCGTTTCTTATACATAATAAAAAACTGACATGGTCTTCAAATGAAGAGCTTTTATTGTACTCCATAATCTGACAAAAGGGAGGGGATGCAGGAAGTGGGTGGTATGCTAATATTGATTAGTAGTGAGCCAAGAATTAAGCTTTGTGGTGCCTCTCAAAGAATTTAAAATGGACTTCTAAGTAATAAACACCAACTTGAAAATGAAGGATTATTTGTGCAAGAAGCTGAATAAATCTTGTTCCAGACAAAAACAAAAAGCTGTCTCACCGTAAATCCTTTTTTTTTTTTTTTTTTTTTTTTTTTTTTTCATTATTTTTTTAAGAAAAAAAAAATTTCACATTTTTTTTAAACGACGTGTTTATTTTCAAC